GTAGAGACGGGGTTTCACCATGTTGACCAGGATGGTCTCGATCTCTTGACCTCGTGATCCACCCGCCTCAGCCTCCCAAAGTGCTGGGATTACAGGCTTGAGCCACCGCGCCCGGCCCTGACAGCTTCTTCTTGCCTGCTGCCCAGAAAAAGCCAATACACTGAGACTGTGGGTGTTGCAGCAGAGAAAGATTTTAGTAATTGCAGGGCCAGTCAAGTGAGGAGATGAGGGATACTTCTCAAATCTGCCTCCCCCAGAATTTGGAAGCTAGGGTTTTTAAAGAATAGTTTGGCAGGCAGGAAGACTAGAGAATGGTTGGGGATGAAATCATAGGAGTGTTGAAACTGTCTTCACCCACCGAGTTACTTCCTGGGTGGGAGCCATGGGTCACTGGTCTGGTTGGCATCCATTGGTCCACCAGATTGCAAGGTCTGAAAAATATCTCAAACACTCAGGTTTTATAATAATGATGTTATCTATGTTAAAAACAATAATGATGTTATCTATATTTTAAAAAGCAAACTAAGAAACAATGACTGTCTATAATTCAACGATAGCTACATCTTAGCAGAAAAGCAAGCTAACAGATAATGACTGGTTATAGTTTATGCCTACAGCTTGACAGACAGGTGTACAGGGGGTGAGATAATCAATCATTAGTGATCACCTTCTATCAAACTGACTATATGCAGGCAATCACGCATCCAGGAAGAGCAGGACAAAGGAAAGGGAAAATAAGTAAAACAAATGATTTTACTATACCTGTATCCTAGCAGAGCCCAGGCCTCTATCTCAATTGTTACCTTGTAGCCTTTTATTAAATTTACAAAGGCAGTTTTAGTCCCCAAGCAAAGTGGAGTTTCATTTTGGGAAGAGGCTGTTACCATCTTTGCTCCAGAGTTAAACTATAAAGTAAATTCCTCTTGTAGTTAGCTTGGCCTATACACAGAAATGAGCAAGTGTGGTTAGGCTGTGAAGTCAGAAACAGGGTGGAGTCAGTTATGTTAGATTCCTCTCACTGTTACAATTTTTTGGCAAAAGTGGTTTCAACTCCGGGCCACCTTTCTAAAGTAGCCCCAGCTGCAGTCACTGTTGGGTCACTTGCCCCTATTTCTCCTCCCCCTCCACTCCCCCACCTTTCTCTTCTTTCCTCCTTTTTAAACCTTTCCTTTGTTTTTCCTCTTTCCTTTCCTTTTTTTTTTCTTTTCTTTGTTTCTTCTTTCCTCTCTTTCTTTCGACACAGTCTTGCTCTGTTGTCCAGGCTTGAATGTGTGGCACAATCTAGGCTCACTGCAACCTCTGCCTCCCGGTTCAAGCAATTCTTGTGCCTCAGCCTCCCAAGTAGCTGTGATTACATGCACACACCACCACACCAGGCTAATTTTTGTATTTTTTGGTAGAGACAGGGTTTCACCATATTGGCCAGGCTGGTCTCGAACTCCTGAACTCAAGTGATCTGCCTGCTTCGGCCTCCCAAAGTGCTGGGATTATAGGTGTGAGTCACTGCACCTACCCATTTGGCCCTATTTCCCTTTTTTTCCTGGCATGTATCATGTGCATTCTGGTCTGTCTCCCCACATGTTTCTTGAAGGCAGAAGCCTGGTCTGTTCTGCTCCTTGCTCTGCCACATGACTTGGCCATTAGCCAGCTTGCTATCAATGTGTGTTGAATGTTCAGTGAATGGGCCTCTAGTTTCCCTGTCTTTAAAATGGGCATAACAATTCCTGGGTCCTGGAGGCCTGGATGTATGGAGCACAGGCCCCAGCATGGAATGGCCATAATAATGTTGACTTTCCTTGTCCCCCAGACGCTGCCCTCTCGGTGCCACCAATGTGTGATTGTCAGCAGCTCCAGCCACCTGCTGGGCACCAAGCTGGGCCCTGAGATTGAGCGGGCTGAGTGTACAATCCGCATGAATGATGCGCCCACTACGGGCTACTCAGCCGATGTGGGCAACAAGACCACCTACCGCGTAGTGGCCCATTCCAGTGTGTTCCGCGTGCTGCGGAGGCCCCAGGAGTTCGTCAACAGGACCCCTGAAACCGTGTTCATCTTCTGGGGGCCCCCAAGCAAGATGCAGAAGCCCCAGGGCAGCCTCGTGCGTGTGATCCAGCGGGCAGGCCTGGTGTTCCCCAACATGGAAGCATATGCCGTCTCTCCCGGCCGCATGCGCCAATTTGACGACCTCTTCCGGGGTGAGACGGGCAAGGACAGGTACCAGCCTCCCTCCTGCCCCCTCTGGCCAGCCCTGTGCTCCCTCTCAGCATGCTCCGTCCTGAGGGCCTGTTGTTCCCAGCATGCACTGCTCTGAGGGGATGGTCAGGTCCTGCCGTCCTCTGATTGGGCCTCCTAGGAGAGTTCCCTTCATGTCCAGCTGTTCATATGGATCCTTTCCAACATGCTCTGCATGACCTGGTTTGCCCGAGAGTTTCCTCCTGCCATACCTTGCTCTGAGGGCACAAGGGCTTCCACCCAGCATGCTCTGCTCTGAGTTTGCACAGTCACCCCTAGCATCTTTCTGAGAGAAGCTCCCCATAGTGTACCCAATGTAAAGTCTTGTCTGTTCCCAGCACGTCTGGCCTTAAGCACATAGTCGCTCTTGGCATGCTCTGTTCCAGGGATACATCACTCCCAGCATGCCCTGCTGTGACTCATCTCCTTAGGAAAGCTAGGCCAGTGCTGCCCAATAGAAATCTATGTGAGCCACATATGGAATTTATTTTCATAGTAATCACGTTTAAAAATCAGTGAATAGCTGCATGCAGTGGCTGGCACCTGTAGTCCTAGCTACTCAAGACGCCGAGGCAGGAGGATCACTTGAGCCCAGGAGGTCGGGGCTGCAGTGAGCCATGATGGTGCCACTGCACTCCAGCCTGGGTGACAGAGTGAGACCACATCTTACATCACTTTAAGAAAAAAAGTAGTGAAAGCAAGTTTAATTTTTTTTTGACCTAATATGTTCAACATATAGCTCTTATACGTATTTTGTTAGATTTCTACCTAAATATTTAAAATGTTTTGAAGCTATTATAAATGGTATTAATATTTTTTTGTTCCCGATTGTTAATTGCTGATATAGAAATAGCATACAGAAATTGATTTTTGTGGCCAGATGCAGTAGTTTATGCCGTAATCCCAGCACTTTGGGAGGCTGAGGCAGATGGATCACGAAGTCAGGAGTTCAAGATCAGCCTGGCCAACAGGGTGAAACCCTGTCTCTACTAAAGATACAAAAAATTAGCTGGGCATGGTGACATGCATATGTAATCCCATCTATTCAGGAGGCTGAGGCAGGAGAATTGCTTGAACCTGGGAAGCAGAGGTTGCAGTAAGCAGAGATCGCACCATTGCACTCCAGCCTGGGTGACAAGGAGAGACTCCGTCTCAAAAAAAAAGATTATTGTGTGTTGACCTTGTATCCTGTAACCTTGCTAAACTCACTTACTGGTTCTAGGAGATTTTTTGTTTGTTTGTTTGCTTTGTTTTTGAGACAGAGTCTTGCTCTGTTGCCCAGGCTGGAGTGCAGTGACACGATCTCGACTTGTTGCACTTCCACCTCCTGGGTTCAAGCGATTCTCCTGCCTCAGCCTCCCAAGTAGCTGGGACCACAGGTGTGTGCCACCATGCCCGGCTGATTTTTGTATTTTTGGTAGAGATGGGGTTTCACCATGTTTGCCAGGCTGGTCTTAAATTCTTGACCTCAGGTGATCCACCCACCTCTGCCTCCCAAAGTGCTGGGATTATAGCATGAGCCAATGTGCCCAGCCTGTTCTTGGAGATTTTTGTAGATTCATTTGGATTTTCCATGCAGATAATCATGTGGCATGCAAATAAAGACAATTTTATTTCTTCCTTTCTGATTTGTATGCCTGTTTCTTCTTTTTGTTTTA